CATGTATGAATGCTGGATCCGAGGACTGGCGGGGGCATTCTTCAAGTAAATTATAGTCTTGAATGGCGACGCGATGGGGGGTTGGTTGGCACGCGCACACGAAGGCCTACACCTGCCCCCCGTAGACATCTGTCCCCCTCCCCCCGGGCCCTGCGCGTCTATCGTTTCAGAGTCAAATTCACGTATGAACTCGTACATTCATCGTTTATCAACCGGCGGAGTTTATTAATTTTACTGCATCGATTACAAAAAAATTTAGGACAATCGCTCTTCACTTTTAATCAGCAAAATGTCACGAATGAATCCCTCGGCCCTTTCCCCCAACAGTAAAAATTCATTCGCTCGAATTCTGAGAGACATTGAAATTTGGAAAAAATATTTGAAAAGTCTATGGAATCGCCTCTGCAGTGAACTACTTTATTTTTTTTTCAGTGCATTTATAATATTTTTTTATGAATAAAAGCTGCAGATGAAAATCTAGCATCGAACCGATTCAATTATATTAAATCAGTCGCGAAGTGGTAAAAAGAGAAGTCAATTCTGACTATTGACCAGTTTTCAATCAATATCTCGGAATCTAAGGAAGATAGCAAAATTTTTGTTATAACCTTTTTTGTGGAGCTCATTGAGTGCTACAAGAAATGTAGTGACGAAAATTTCGCTATTCCCCTTAGATTCGGAAATATTCCTCAAAAACTCAACTGGGAGATAAGTCGACTTATCTCCGTTTACCACTTCACTACTGAAATCGTCTCTTTTATCAACGAAATGTGGATCCACGGTAGATTCTCACTCACATCTTGTCTGACATCTCTGTTATGAACTTCTTTCTTTCGGGTTTCTCTGAAACCCGAGTTGAAAACCAGAGTTGTGCCAACATTGTCCAGTGGGATCTAGGAGTCTCCCCTGGTTGGAAAATCATGAATGAATTTCTGGAGATTTATCAGGGGATGTCTGCATAAATCATTTTTTATTTACGAAAATTGTTGGAATTATTATATGAGTGAGACGTAGATGAAGGCAAAAAGCCATCTCTAATGAGTTAATTTTTCTTGGTATGGATTGTATGTTTAATAACACCGGGATCAGCGTGTTTATAAGAATTTTGTTTAGTCTCAGTAGAGTGGAGGAGTGGAATGAATGCCTCTTTATGGATCAGATTTTTAACCAGAGTTCGTCACCAATTTCTTTGTGTCGAATCGGTCTCTCGGAGAGCTTTGAAGAGTAAAGACGTGCCCTCATTAATAAAACCAGTTAAATTCAAATAATCAATCACGAGTGTTTTCATTTATCGCCATAATCCTAATAAAAATTATCAGGGATGCGGTTGTGCCCAGATATATGGATGCAGTAATCCAGGATTGAGACGATGAAAGAGGCGAATAAGGATTTTTCCATAATTCCGGGGGTTCAGTTTGGTGTATCGGGTGTAGGATGCCCTCCGGGGTGAACAGTGCGTCTCTTTGTTCCATGGTTTACCACAAAGGCCTGCAAATGCCAAGTTGAAATGAAAAGCCGCGACCATCCCCCCAGGGCCCGGTTAGACAGCCAAACAGATGCGGAAATACGATGCTGAAAGATGTCTGTCAAATTTCTTTTATTTCTTTTTTTTTCTCAACTTTTTTTTTCTCTCATCTTGATCAGGAACTCCGCTACAATCTCGTTAGTCGCGAGATGATTATCTTAATTGTCGAATTGAGAATTTTGAATGGCGAGGCATTCGTGTCGAATTTTACGATGCGAATGCAATGTTTATTGGGGGGAAGTCGTCGTCATTAATCATCGATTAAGTGCTCAACGATCGGTCAGGGTAATTTCGGGAATTTCCGTGAATTTAGGGAAACTGCTTTCTCCCCCTCTCTTCGACGGGATTCGTGTATATCCAGAGCCGTGTGTTTTCGCCACCCCTCGGTGGAAATGAGGGACCAGTGCCACCAGTATGTCACTGTACAGACCAGCACCCCTGTACAATGAGTCCATAAGACCGATCGATATGCTCACTCGACGGTGACGGCTGGGTCGATCAAGGTGAAATCACAGCCTGTTGTCCAGAAATCAATTGAAATATATTTTTGAGGAATTTTTTGCTGCTACATTTACAGGGGGCCGGGGGGGGGGGGGATTCC